ACATGCCACTCTGATTAGTTTAATTAAAAAAAAAAAAAGCTAAACAGCCAGTAGTGAGGCAGGATTTTGGGGGCAGAGAGAATGCTGGGAAGATGAAGGTTGAATCTGAGGGTCGCCAGGCAGACTCAGAAGAAGCAGGATGGACAGTACTTAGATGAGGTAAGTACTTAGATGAGCCTTGGGGTGGCACATAGGTTACTAGAAAGGGGTTCATTTAAGTTATAAGAACTTTCATAATTCAGAGTCTCCGTGTGGTTATCTGGGAGTGGGTTCCTGTCAGCCAATCAAGAGCATTTTTGTGGTCCCTGATGAAAAATTCTACCTACAAGTAGCTAAAGGAGAGGTGGGGGGTCACCAGGAAGAGAAAATATAGGCTTTAGGCATCTAGAGGACCTGATGGGGATTAAGATCTTGGTTGGGACTTTTGAGGATCCATAGGGACCTGGCGGCAACCCAAACCTCCTTTGGTATGTATTGTTTCAAGCACCTGGGATTTCTGAGAAAGGCCATCACGGGCCAGCTCAGGGAGTGCATGGAAGCTAGGCCCACCCACAGCCTCTTACAGGCTCTTTCCTCCTCTCTCTTGTGCTAGCAGAATTAACATCTCCGTATTTCCCTTTACAAAACCCTAAATTAAAATCATGGCAAATAATACTCTCTCTGAATAAGTGACAGAAGACCTCTAAATCTCACCTGAAAACTGAGGAAAACCACAGTTCTTACTGTGGTACAGGACAGTATCTTGAAATGCCTAAGTTGAGCCATGTCTACCACCCGGTGGCAGCATTAGGTAAGCACAGTTTTTTCTTTCAGGATTCTGAGCACTAGTTGCTATCAGGTCAGCATTTCTCAACAGCTGAGTGTCGGTGAGGGTTTTTGGATTCCGAGGAAAACTGCATCACTGGTGGTGGGGTCCTTCAGAAGGGACGTCCTGATGACTGCTTCACCACCTTACTCTTCAGGCTGCTTAGCACAAACCAGTCTTCTGGGGTCTATTTTTCTTAGATTTGTGCTTTGTTTTTCCTTCAGGGATGTAGCTTTGTTTTGTATAGCCTGCTCCTCTCTCCTGCTTCCCTTCCTGTGTATGCACGTGTACCTCCACACATGTGCTCAAACATGTGTCTATACAGAGAGCTCTGTGCGACCAGGACTGTATGTCATATATTTGACTGCTGAAGCGAAGACTGAAGCAGTTCCTCATCTTGGGGTCCTCGGGGCTCTCTGCAAATTTATGCCTTCGCTTTTACCTCTGCAGGGGCAGAATCTAGTACTCAGTTTCTGAGTCAGGGTGGTCCTGACTGACTTTGTGTCCAACCCCTTCAAAAGCTGTCAAATGGACACTGATTTTGTTATTACATACATTCATTTATTTTTGTGTGTGCCTGAGTGTGTGGAACTCAGGACAACTTGTGGGAGGTGATTCTCTTCTGACACTGTGTGGGTTATAGGGAAAGAACTCAGGTGGTAAGGCTTGGTGAACAACTTTACCTGCTGAGCTGTATCATTAGCTGCAACTCAAAATCTGAGCCCAGGGATCAAGAGACTGAACAGCGCCTGCTCTTGGTTCTTAGCATCTGCCTCAGTCTGTGGAGTTCATGCGAGGAACACTGATCTAGCCTTCCATGACAAACCACATGGAATAGAGGTGCGCTGTTCACAGAAGTCCTCCACCTCAACCGGCTGACAGCCGGCAGACACCCCTAGACGTGGTGGGAGACGATTTTAATTGCTTCATTCCAGTGATGCACTCAGATGACAGCCGCAGCAGGAGGGACACCGCCGAGCCCAGCTGAAATGACCTATATAACCAAGGGTTTATTACTTGACACCCTTCAACTTGAAACATTTGTATCTTGGAAGTACAGAACTGCCACAATCAAAAGCCAAGCTAAGCATGGTGCTTGAATGAGAACTGTTGCCTCAAGGTTCATGTATTTGAGTGCTTGGCCCCAGTTAGTGCTGCTTGAAGGTGTTCCACAGCCCTTAGCAGGTGCCTTGCTGCAGGATACATGGTGCCGAGAGTGGGCTTTGAGAGTTTACAGCCCCACTCCACTTCCCTCTCATTTTTCCTGTGCATGGAAATTCATGGGGGGAATTTTCCACAGTGAGGAAAATCACGGTTCTTATAAAATTAAAGGTGATCACTTAGCTTCCTGCTCCTGCTGACTGTTGCCATGGCTCTCTTGCTCACGCTCCCTCTGGAACCTTGTGCCAAAATAAACTCATCTTTCCTGAAGTCACTTTTGGTCATGGTGTTTCATTGCAGCAACAGAAAGTCACCATACACTGAGTGATACAGATTTGAGAAGCAGGCAGCACCCTGAGGCCGGGAAAGTGGCCAAGAAGCCACTGAGTGTGTGCATGCAGGCGAGGAGACCTTCTAGGTGGAGCACATCCAGAACCCTTGACTTAAAAAGGCAGGTTACGCCCGGTGGTGATGGTGGTGCATACCTTTAATCCCAGCACTCGGGAGGCAGAGGCAGACGGATCTCTGTGAGTTTGAGGTCAGCCTGAACTACAAGAGCTAGTTCCAGGACAGGCTCCAAAGCTACAGAGAAACCCTGTCTCGAAAAACCAATAATAAAAAACGGCAGGTTACCTGACCATTCGTACCCAGTGGTCAGCGCTGAGCCTGAGGCAGAATCCCATCAGCACACACTTCCACTTAGGGAGCGAGCCGGAGACACACGTGACCATCTGTCATGGCAGCCCTGTACGTGTGCCCTTGGGTATGGTTACATTCACCCTTCTCTATGGCTCTTAGCTCCAAGCTCTGGTGCAAGCCTCCATTTTTCCAAACCCTGGTCCTCTGCAAAGAGCAACTGCTCTACACTGCTGATTCATCTCTCAGCCTTCCAACAATCCCATTCTAAAATGTATTTTACTAAGTTCATCTCTTAGGCCCTAAGGCTTAGGGGATTGAACACCCTCTTCTGGCCTCCACAGGCATTGCATGCATATGGTGCATAGGCAAAAACCTATACATACAAATATTAAATCTTTTGCTGTCTGGAAGTCTGGGGATGAGAAACTGCTTTATTTTGCAATTCTAAGTTTAGGGATTCCAGATTTCTTCCCTTCCTGCAAATAAAATTCATTATATGTGCAGCTGGAAACACCCAACAGGTACTTTAAACAATTTTAGAGATCTCCCTAGATAACTCCTTAGCTTCAGGCCATATGCTTTATTCATTCCAGATGATTGTAGGCAATCATCTTGCCCAATGTTTCATTGTTCTATTGCATAGAAACCATTTTTCTAATCTTCAGAAGTCTTGGGAAGCATTTTCCCCAGATGAGATCTGTAGCCTCAGGCCAGAGCTCCCTGAGGTTGGGTGAGAGGAGGCACTGCAGAGTCTCTTCAGATCTGTTCTCAGAAGTCACACACTGTTATTTCTACACACTCTTTTCGTGGGAGCAAGTAATGAAGCCATCCCAATTAAAAAAATGGGGAGCGGGTATGGTGGTACACGCCTTTGATTCCAGCGCTCAGAAGGCAGAGGCAGGCTGATCACTATGAGTTCCAGGACAGTCAGGACTGCCTGGTAAGACTCTGTCAAAAAAAAAATATCAAAGAATGGAGAAACAGGGTTCACCTGTTAATGGGGGAAGTGACCAAGTTATGAAAATATGAAGGGAGAGAGAAAATGGGGGGACATGAGGAGTGTGGGGAGATGGGGGGGATGATGAATGTGAGGGAAATTTGGGGGAAATAAGGGGTTTTGGATAAATGGAAATATGAGGGGTGTGGTGAAATTTGGGGGATTTGGATGAGGGGTGTCTGCTGTCAGCTGGCTGATGTGAGGACCTCTGTGAGATGGTGCATCTCTATTCCATGTGGTTTCTCATGGAAGGCTGGATCAGTATTCATCCCCTGAACTCTGCAGGCTGACGCAGATTCTAAGACTCGCCATCGTGTCTGGGAAGGCACGCAGCTGGAGCGTGAGGTGACTGTGCTGCTCAGCTTTCTCCTTTAGTGCTAGCCCACGGGATGGTTCCTCCACTAGTCAGGGTGAGTCTTCTAGTCCTCATTCAAACTTTTCTGGAAACATCATTAAAGACACCCTTAAGAGGCATGTTTTCATGGTGAGTCTAATTGCAGTCAAGTTGTGGATAAAGACTAAGCATCAAAAATCTGAGAAGGCAGAAATGAGTCAAATAGGGTGCATCGTGTCATTAGAGAGGCTGAGGCAGGAGGATCGTGAGTTTGAGTCAATGTGGGCTTCATCAACGCCTCCCCCGCTTTTGAGACTGGGTCTCAATTACGTAGACTTGGTTTTCCTGGAACCAGTGCTGTAGAACAGGATGGCCTCGAACTCACAGATCTGCGTGCCTCTGCCTCCTGAATGCTGGGATCAAAAGGCATGCCCCACCACGCCCAGCTCAAATTTTGTCTCAAAAACTAGTCTCCCTACCAATCAAAACAGACTAGGACAACTGATAAAGGAATCAGAGGCTGTGTAAAAGAGAGGCCAGAGAAATCTCCAGGAGGGTGTACATACTAGTAAAGAGTCGACAGAAACGGCACCGCGAAAGATGCGAGTGAAGCTACTAACTGATGGACAAGGATTTCTATTCTCTTGAAACTAGAGAGAAGGGAGAGGGACGAATTAGGAGCCCTCTTGGTTGTGAAGAATGCTGCTTTTAAGGAGACAGGGATTAGGAATCAGCAATGCAGCCTGGGAATGGAAAAGGCGGTCAGTTCTTTTTGGAAACGATAGGGGTCGCCTGTGAGCAGCAAAGAGAGCTGGGATATGCTGTGTGGAGTATTGCGGCTCCAGGCTGGAAGAAGCAGGGGGACTGTCAAGCTTCACTCAAATTCCCGGGGTTTCGAGTGGAATCCTCCGATTCTTTCCCGCATTTTCATTGTTCTGAGATCTGTCCAGAAGCACCCCTCCTCCTCTGCTGCAGATGGTCCAGTTAGAATTTCCGGAGACCTAACCGAGGAGAGGGGTGGTGATGATGGACAGGTTCAACCATAATTCTTAGGGTGCTCTTGGGGCCCGGCTTTGGGGTCGTGGAGCCTCGCCTTGCAGCCTATCGGCTCTCATTCCGGGCGCCCTTGGGCTCAAGAAAAGCTGCTGGGATTTCTAGGCTCCTACTCCTCAGCTCCTTTTCTCTTCTGACGCAAACCTCCCTGGAGTCCTCCACACCCGGGCTCAGGATTGCGGTCTCCTAACCACAGGGTTGCAGAGAGCTGGTTCCTCGCCTCTGTGTGCCTAGCAGAAAGGCCGGTCCTATCGTCTTCATCTGCAAAGGGTTGTGCTGTGTTCTGTCCCAGGGGTAACGTAGTCAGAGAACAGTCTTGTCCCCAATCCAGTGCCCGCGCTCCGAGGCTGGTGCTGCAGGGACCTGGGCTGCTGGTGCACGTGCAGCCGGCTCTGCGTAGGGGCGTTCCTGCAAGCTGATCCCTGCTAGGCGCAGGGCTGCGGACGCTGCGCAAGTGGCTCTCGCATTCCCTGTCTCTGCAGCGGTCGCGTAGGTCGGGGAAACCCGTCCTGGTGCCGGGGAAACCGAGTGGGGGGGGAGGAGCCCGAGCGGGAGGGGTGGGAGGGGGCGCAGCCCCGCCCCCGCCCCGCCCCCCGTGGCCGGAGTCCGGGCTTCAGCCGGCGCGCCGTAGCCTGCCAGCCCGCGAGCCTGCTAGCGGCGGCTTCCCTTCGCGCAGACCAGGCGTCCCAGCCCTCGCGGCCCGCTGACCCTGGGGCTCGCGCCCCACGGGGCAGGGATGCATCATGGCCACGCTGGCTTGTCGCGTGCAATTCTTGGACGACACCGATCCTTTTAACAGTACCAACTTCCCAGAGCCCAGCCGGCCACCGCTGTTCACATTCCGCGAGGACCTGGCTCTGGGCACCCAGCTGGCCGGGGTCCATCGGCTGCTGCGGGCGCCGCACAAGGTAAGATCCGGCGGGGTGGGTGGCGAGCTGGGGACGCAACCCCTGCAGCCGTGCCTGTCAGGGGGGGGGGGGGCGCTGCAGACGGACTGGACTGGCAGAGGCCCCGGGGACACGCGCCCAAGGGCAGATACCACTGAGGGTTAGGCAGAGGGGCCCCGAGCACCCAGAGGCTGGCGCATGACTCTCTGGCTGGCGGGAAGGATAGCTCCACGTCCTAGTCCAGATCTTTGGACGAGTGGGGCCCAGCAGGTGCCACACCGGCTGGAGGCGGGATGTGTTGGGATCTCCGTGGCCTCTCCGTTAGCTCGGCCTGGTGGGCGGGGTGCAGCTCAGACGCCGGGGCTATCGGCTCCGATATCCCGCTTGGCCCCGAGCCGGGCACGGAGAGAGCTCTGTGAGCTGCGGGATTCGGTTTCCTGGAAGAGAGCCCTGAGTGATGCCGGGGACAGAAGCTCTGTAGGGCCTCCCTGGCACTGCGGGCGGCTGGGCGACCCTCGCGACAAAGCACGCTTTCCGGGAACACCTCCCCCTCCTCCCTCTGGCAAGGGGCGCGCACTGCGATAGTGTTCACACTATCCCGTTTTTCTTCCGAGGAGCAGGTGGCCTCAGGAACCTTGGAGGAGCAGCCCCTGTGGGAGGAAGGGCGGGGGCGCGGGCAAGAGGCTCACAAAGCCTCGGCCCAGGAGCCCCAAATGAGTGTCCCCTGGGAAGAATGGCGTCTCAGTCCACCCGTTAGAGTTTTCTTTTCTTTTCATGTCTTTTCTTTCTTCCTTTCTTTTTTTTTTTAACCCTTTGAAGGAGGCCAGGGGTCTTGCAAAGTGATTGTAAAGAGCCGGGCATCGAAAGCTAATCATTTAGCTCTCGGGAAAGCCTTCCTCCCACTTACACAGATGGACTGCACCTTGAAGGGTTTACTTCCTTGCTGTATTTTCTGCTTAGGTCCACATCAAAGTTTAGAGATAATTAGTTTTGTGAGGATCAACATGGACAAACATTTGGGAAAGAGAACCCTTAATTCCAAGGGCAAAAGTGATTTCGGAAAATCCTCCGGCTTTCTGTTAGATGCCCACTGGTTTTGAAAGTAAAAGAGGAGGCTGTGCTTGTACCTGAGGGATTTAGAAATCCTCTCCCCCTGCTCAGAGTTTCTCAGGGCTCCCTCCATCCCTGAGGATGGACTACCTAGTAACCACTTTTATTTTCTTTTTCTTTTCTTTTTTTAAACGGAGAGTGGGCAGATCCTCTCATTCCTTCTGTACTGGCTCTGGGTGGTTATATATCACCGTACTTGCATTCTTTCTGACCACAGAGCGCCTTACCTTGGGAGTCGCTTTAGTAAGTTCTTACCGCTTCTCCAGCAGCAGATTCAGTAAAAGTTTTCTCAGTGTCTCCCACTTCATGGTTCTTCCATTCACCATGGTCTCAGATTACAGTGAGCTTTTGTTGAAGCCACAGAAGCCTCATAATTGTGGCCTTGTGACCTTGAAGTGGTCTCCTTGGGTCTCAAACCCTATATACATGGGTTGACCTTTCAGGCTCCGAACTCAAGTATGTTTTTAGGTTTCCATAGTCTTAATCCAGTATTCCTGGTGGGGCAGGAAATCCTGATGCTCCCCCCTTCCCTCTCCTGGGCCCCCACCAGAAGCCACAGTACAACAGGCACACTGGCTCCCAGAACTTTCTAAGGTATCCTTTGTGAAGCAAACACAAGAAAAGGATTTAGAGAAAACCTTTAACCACCCAAGACTAATCTTAGACTTTTTTGGCTAAGGACCCCAGCAGTATTTTCACTTGCTTTTATACACTGTATTTAAGTTTTTGCACTTAGGGACAGCGCAGACGGCTGACTGGTAACCAGAGTTTCTTCAAGCAGAATTCAGGGCATCCGTGTGTTTAAGTTAGTTAAGTAACTAACATCTTTAAGATGTTAGTTTCCAGCAATTAAAAAAATTGGAGTAGTCTTCCGTGTCCCAAGCTAACCTTGAACTTGCTATGATCCTGAGGTTACCCTTGAAGTTTGATCCTCCTGACCGAACCTCATAGCCATGCATCACCACAAACACATTGTGCGGTGTGGGGCTTTGTGTGTATTAGGTGTGTGCTCTGCCACCTGAACCGCAATCTCCAGCCCCTCCAGCGGATAATCCACCTATGACAGAAAGCGAGTCATCTTGGAGCACTCAGCCTGTAGCCTGTGCTCCCCGGGAGCACTAGTGCATGCGTGATCTCACTTAACATCATACAGCTCCATGATATAGTGCTTATATTATCCCTGTTTTAGGGACAAAGAAACAGAGGTGGAGAGCAATTAAGTAACCCGATTTCTCTGCCGGGAGGAGGGAGCTGAGAGCCTAAATAGGCCTGAATGACTGGACACCTCAGTGCAGCCCCCTGAGCAGCTAGCTGTGTGGGTGAAGACAGAGGCTATACTTCCTGGGTCCTCTCATCCGTTACCTTGGCAAGTTCGCCTAACACAACCACTTTTGTGTGCCAAGCACCTTTTGGCCTGGGGGCAGGTGATGTTACAAGCATAAGGGCTTAAAGAATTCCTGGCCTGGTAGAGTTCTTAGAGGTAAGAACATACAGTTAGTGGCTGGATGTTCCAGGCCACCAGTGAGTCTTCCCAGGGCTTAGGGAACACTTCTCCTGGGAGTGGGGCGGGGGGCTCTGGAGGTAGAAAGGGGAAGCACCCGGGTAGACTCACATATACACACTCCCGATGTCCTCAGTCTTGTACTGGGGAAATGGCTCATCTAAACTGCTTTTCACGGAAGTGTGACAACCTGAGCTCAATATCCCAGAACCTCAAAAAAAAAAAAAAAAAAAAAGTTAAGTGTGGTGGTGCAAGCCTGAAATCCAGGCACTATGTATGGGGATGGGGTAAGGGGAGGAGTGTGGGATGGTGGGGACAAAAGGATCCCGGGACTTGTTGGTCACTCAGTGTAGTTGAATCAGTAAGTCTCAGGTTCAATATGAGAGACTCTGTCTCAAAAAATAAAATGGGGAACGATTGATGAAGACACCTGGTGTCAGCCTCTGGTCTCTCCATACACACATGACCCTCCCTGTCCCCATACAAACAACACACCATACACACAACAACAACAACAACAACCAGAACAGCAATCTAAGGGCAGTTTTCCTCATTTGGTAGACAAAACAGGAACTGCAGACTGTGTGTATAAAAAAGAGTCATGACTAACGTGTATGTCAAAATAGCAATTATGACTTTGCGATTAAACTTTCAAAAATATTTATTTTATAGGTATGAGTAGTTTGCTTGCACATATGTCTGTACATTATGCACATTCTAGAACTGTGAGCTGCTGTATGAGTGCTAGGAATCGAACCCAGGTCCTCTGCAAGAACAAGAAGTGTTCTTGACCACTGGGCCATCTCTCCAGCCCCACATCTGTAATTTTTAGTGATGTAGGTAGTTTGATTTGGAATCATTTTCGCCATGTACTAAGTGCTAGAGAGACTAGAGCTGTGATAGCCGCTCTGCTCCAGGTACCTGTCTCATCAGACCCATACCAGCTCACCACGCACATGACTGCTCAGGCCAGGGACTGATGCTATAGCGAGTCATAGAAAGAGAGACTAACTATGGGAGTCCCCTGGTCACGTGAGTTTAAATCCCAGAGTTAGCTTCTGACACTGATCTGGCTCAGTGGAGTTCAATGGCTCCATGTTAGTGTCTGGCCTGTTCTCCTTCCAGGAAGTCTGTCCATTCTCAGAACACATCTTCCAGGGCTCACCTCGAATGTCCCCTGTTTAATCCCTTCTCACCACCTTTGTCTTTGTGGCTACCTGCAGGGCCGAGGCTATCCTATCCATAAAACAGCCAGTTGCACCAAGAGTTAGATCATTGCTACAGGCACAAGGTGGACATCATCTGGGCTTCTACTTGAACTGAACACTCCGGCCTCCCCTGATCTACTGATTCAGAACATGTATCTTACCATGGCGCTTGGGTAATTTCAGTACCAATTACTGCCCAAGTGCACAGGTTACAGGTGAAGTATATCAGGCTGTTAGTATGTGGGGTTCTTATTATCTTCTCTCTCTTTAGATAACTTCCTGAAGGTGACGCCCTGGTGGCCCCTTTCTCTAAGTTGTACCTAGAAGCTAAGTAGCACTAAGACAGGGCGTGCACCACGCTGACTGACAGGTGTTAGTTTTAGAACACAAATCCACCCGTATTATTGCCCTAATGAATTTCCACCTTAATCCTCTTAAGGGACACATCTGTTTGTTACATTACATTGAGATTTTTCAAAGATGAGATCATTAGTAAACTTGGCAAGTGGGCTATGCCTCGGTATCTTAGGACAATGCTGTTTAAGAATGTTCTATGAATGGCTATGAGTCTAAGCAGTGTTGAATCTAGCTCCACTGTAATTAGCTCACTTGGTTGGAACCTTGCTATTGAGATCGGGATCATGGGATTGAACCCTTTATGGGTCAGCTGGCTTTGCTTCATGCATGGCTACAGACCATGTCAGTAACCCAGCCAGACATCCAGCAGGTGCTCCCATGGCTCCTTGCAAGTATCTGAGTTGGGACAGCATGAGAGCGGACTTGGGTGTGCGGTAGGGCAGGGCTTTTCTGGAACCAGCTCGTGTGGAGACTGTCCTATAGACTTTCAGATTTCATTTGATATAGAAATGTCAAATTTCATTTCTCGCTGTCCCCAGCAACTGTGGCAAGTCGACAGACAAGGAAATGCCAGCGAACACAGAAGGAAACTGAGTCATAGGTACATTAAGCAGGTTGCTAAAGGCCATAAGGCCATGCTGCTTTAAGTGAAGGAGCTGGGATTGAAGGTCAAGTCTTTTTTTACTCTGAAGCCTGTAGCCAACTGTGTCCCATTATTAGAAAACCGGCAGAGCACGGGCTGCTGCTCCCCACGAGGGTGGGGCACGGCTGCCTGCCGAGGGGCTGTGACTTACATCGCTCTGCTCTGGTGCGTCCTCCCTTGGTGGATGCTCTGTGGGCCTGTG